AGAGCTGAATGTGATGTTTATAGAGACTAGTGCAAAGACTGGCAGCAACGTTAAACAGGTGAATCTAAGAGCGCTACATTGTCTGCTCAGTGGCAAATGGACTTTAATGCCCTGTAACATGACACATGGAAAGCTCTAAAAAGATTTGATTTAGCCAGAGTTGTTGCCCATAGGGCTTTAGCGGTACCAATCCGCTCTGGAAAAAAAAAATCAGTCTGGTTTAATTTTCTTTTTGTTTGGTTTAACAGTTGTTTCGGAGAGTGGCTGCAGCTTTGCCCGGAATGGAAAGCTTGGATGATAACAACAAAGAAGGAAGTATCCTTTAATGCATGGTATTTAAAGGTGATAAGTGTCAGTTTTGAGGATGTCTCCCAGGTTAATATGCGGAGACAAAATAAGTTAACCAAAAAAGTATGTGTAGGTTGATTAACACCGTGACTGTGTGGTGCTATCAAAATTTTTGTTTAAGCATCCTCTCAACTAATACTGTGAGTTTGGGGTGGGGCTATCTGTTGGTGCGACCAATGGCAGATGGAAAGAGTGTTCAGAAAGTTATTTTCCCGTGCACGTTTCCGCTAGTGAAACAGAAATGATATAAGTCATCATAATATCAAAACTGACCCACTTAATACAAGCTGCTGGTTTTATTGTGCATGATTTATAGCCACATATATCCTTTTATTTATAGTTGACATCGTCAAGGCTTATTTTTAACTGTCTGGCTCCTTTTCCAAAAATGGACTTTTCGAGATAAAATTGAAGATTTAGCTGTACATTTTTTCTTTCTGATTATGCTTTTTCACCCAAAATATGATTATGGCAGTAAAGATTTAATAAGAAAAATGTAATAATAACAATAATAGTTAACCATTAGTGGGAAACTGTGCTTAATACATTAATAAGGCAACACTATTTCCTTGATTTCCTTAACTCATCCCTCTTCCAGTGATCGACATTAAGCTGGACAAACAGCCAGATCCTCCAGCCACTGAAAGTGGGTGCTCCTGTTAACAGAAAGCGGTTCGGACCTTCATTATCACCACATGCTTGTTCTGTTGCTTCCTATGGGTCCACGTCCAGTTGAACTTTATGATCAGATATAGGCTTTTTACATCTGAATGGGTCTAAAATTATATTCCTTAATCTACACTGTCTGTTTAATTGCCAAAATAATATCATAGGTAATTCAAAGTGAATAGCTAACAGATTCATATAAGACAGGAAGTGGCATGTGTACCATCTTCGGACAAAAAACATTCAGAGTGGATTATCGGTTGTTATGTTTTGTATTTTTGTACATTACAAAAAGCACTAAATGATGCCTTCACAAAAAATGAGTTTAAGATTTAAGACGGGCGACAGTCTTTCGCCCATAGCATGCATGTAAGACAACTTTTAGAATCTGTCATGTCCTTTGGTCCATACACATCGATAGTAACGAAACGAAGAACTCAGAATTAATGAAAAAAAAAGAAAAAAGAGAGAGGTCCTGTTCAAAGTCTTAGTGTGGGTCTGTGTATACAGTACATCCTACATGCTAATCCAGTACCAGCCTCCACGGGAGGTGTGTGTACTAACTCGGCTAACCTTTAAAGTGCCGTGGCACTGTTGCAAAGAACCAATGTTTTTTTTCTGCTAGCTTCATGTATACACTTAAGATCCGCCAGGCGGTACTGTATTGTTTATAGTATTTATATTATTGTGAACATCCATCATTTAGACGTGGTTTATGTTCACTTGTATAAATATTACATTTGTTTTTGTTTGTTTTAATATGACAAGGGCTTCACTTTTATTTTCTCAGTCTCACCTGTAGCTATACACTGGTAGTAAAGTATTACTTCTGATTTGGGCATTTTACTATTGACTTACACTGTTTTACTCATCCACCAATTTTTGTTTTTCTGAAAGAATACCATTATTCTTGTTAAACCCCTTTCAGATGTTTTACAGAAATATGTGGGTTGATTTTTAGTTTTTAATTATAACTTTGTATTTTGCAGCCAACTAGAACTAATAAGAACGAGATAAGTGTCATTCATTCGGTTGGGGTGAGAAAGGCAATTTTGAGGTGAGCCTTAGGAAACAACAGATTTTCATTTCAAGTACATGCACTTTCTTTTGGGTTCTGACTAGGAAATGTATAGTTCACCACATCCTAAAGTGATGAAACAGACAAATGATTGTCGCATCCCTCATATATCATGTGTAGTAAAGCTCTCATAGTCTCCTGCACATGTTGAATGGATGTGTAGATTAAAATTCTAAATGCTAGTTGTAGGTGAACACTTCATCTGAGAGAATCCTAAAACATGAAGACCTTTTTAAAACAGCACTGAGCTGAGAGAGAATGTACCCGCCTGTCATCCACTCACAATATTCTGGTTATTGCAACAGTACGTTCAAGAAATGTGAGTTGTTTACGAATCTCTGGAAACATAGTATCTTTAATATTTATTGTATTTGTTTTTGGTTTATATTTTGAATTGTTTACATAAATGCACTGATTAACACCACTGATTGTATTGAGATTCATTTAGGATATATTAGGTATTTATAATATATTAAATGTTAGTGCGAGTTTCTTTCTGGTGCCAATAATTCTGTTAATTGAAACAAAAATGGACATGAGGAATAACTGTGATTGAATTGTTGGTACTAGGCTTGACTTCAGCTTCTTAGATCATTTAAGGGGCCGCTGATATTAACTATGGGGAGGGACTGATGTTAATGAGTTTTACATTGACAGGGCACAGAATACGTCATCTTTCACATTCCTCAAGCCTCCGTCTTGTTTGCTTTGTCAGCTTTCACTTTTGTACACTAGTTGTGCCTTCTGTTATTGTGGCATCACAATGCAAAACTTTCATTGTATGGCTACCTGAGAACACATACATTATAGAACGGTGGTCACTGATTGGTTCGCCAGACAACTGACGGATTTATGATGCTGATCTGTGAGGAAATTGTTGTATTCACACCATCTAATCAATTCACAGCAGTCGAGAAAAATTGCAGAACAGTCCCGTGCAAGTGGAAGGTTGTATCTAAAAACAGGAAGTTGCAGCTGAAAGTGTGAGGAGATTGAATCTGTCAGATTTGTTGCCATAGGGTTGTGTAGAGCAGTGTAGTTGGCTCTTTATTCACTCTAAGGACATTTATGAGCATGACATCTGTCTGAAAAAAATCAATAAAATCCATGTCTTAATACCAAACTGTCTGCTGCTACAATGCTGAGTGTGATATTGCTTTTATACAGCTGTTTAAGAAACGAAAAATTTTATATTTTTTGTGTAAAAGTGTGTAGCCTACTTTTATTAATCAAGCAGAAAGTTCTAAGTTCTAATGAATTTCTGTTTTCAAAACTCACTATTTTTTCATGAAAATTTAAGACAAATGCTATGTTCTAGGGTTCATTTAAAGTTGAAAGCAATGGGCCTTTTTCACAGACTGTGATGGCACATTTCCACAGTTGTTAACTTTGTAAATATAGCAACATTTAAAAAAAAATTTTTTAATTGTAAACCTACAACATTATACTTGGTGTTTTCTTACCTTGGTATTTAATTACATAAAACTAGTTAACCCTGCTATATGAGTGTTTCTAATAAAAAGGCTAAGGAAGTGACGGCAAATTTGACATTTTTCTCTCTTTTGACCAACGCATTGATTATTTTTCTGCTTTTGTAAAGTCATAGAAACATTATTGTTGTTTTTTTTCTTTTGCTATTGGTACAAATGAGAACACAAAATATGTGTTGTAGTTTCCATTCATCACTATAGAAGTTTACCCAAACTATGATGACTTCGCTTCTGAGAACCCTGGAAATGTGAAAAAGGTCCATTAGAGTTGGAGTATAACCTTGTTAAAAACTCTCAAAAAATATTAATAGAATAGAAAATCTCAAAAACATTAATAATTCCCACACAACATTACAAATGCTGCATTAATGGCTAATCCAGATCCAGTGCATTTATTGTGATGCACAGAGACTGGGATTCCCCTTGGCATGGAAACTATAGTCCTCAGGAGAGACAGGTGACTGAAAGTAGAGGCTCACATGATTGAAAAATCGTTTCTTGCCCAACTGTGGACTTTCCAAGCCATACCACACAAATGAGCATAAATGCGAACAAATGAGGGGCAGGTATTTTTATCCAGCCTACAAGGTGCAAGTTAGTGTTTTAACTGTAAATAGAAATTCAATGTCACCACCACTTATCACAGCAGTCTTATGAATCAATGGCCCCTAGAGGCTCCAAGAGCACAAGAGTCATTTATCCACCAGTCACAAAAAAAGCCATGCCAATCACTGACAGGCATCACACCAAATAAAAGGAAACCAGCTAGAAGATTACAGGTATCTCTAGTCCTCATCACCAGCGACTGTTGTAAGTACTATGTTAATTTTTTAGCGTGTTTAACATCAGGAAACTAATCAATATGTACCATTATTTCTAAAGGCTGCATGATGACTGATAGTGTTTAATTATTTAAGGTAAAGGTCTGCAACAGTACTGATAGTTGCTGTTTGACCTCGAACTGATTTTTGAGAAAAATAAAAAGGTTAAACCAAAATTCAAGAATTATTCAAATTAATTTCAATCAAAGCTAAAGCTCAGCTAAATATTCATTGTTCTTGCTGTATTAAAAGTTTATTCGTTAAAATGAAAATGACTGTTTACATTATTTTAATGGATTGTAATTTAAGCTTCATAGTTAAATATGTAAATGCACAAAAATGGTACTATAGGCAAGTTACTGTATTATAGGTCCAGTTTAAAATGCAACATTCCATATTATTTAATAACATAGGATCCCTTCTCTCAAAAAAGGCTGAAGACCTCTAATTTGTTTATGTACTATTTAAGCATATGATAAAACAATTGAATCTTCTTAAGTTAATATATGAAGATATTTTTAGTGCTCTCAGAACACCAGAGTAAGAATTTCAGTGGGAGTTCAGTGTGTGATCTATATGCAGGATTCTTGTGGAAGCATGTCTAGGGTGGAAGGTTACGGAGAGTCTGACCTGCGCTCACAGCTACGAGCATGTAGGACTGAGATCGCCATGGCAATCCATGACCCCTTCCCACTGCTGTACGGGCTGGCGGATCACGACGTTATCTCTGAACAGATCCTGAGGGTAAACATTTTCATAAAAATTATATTCCTCAGCATAATCACAAATATGCGTAATTATAGTTCATTAAATTCTAAAACAAGAAACTATTACTATTGCCGATTGACACTTAAGGAGACTTTAGAGCGAAAGAAAAAGGACGGGATCCACAAAGCTGTTTACTCACTGCTCACATTGATACTGGACCAGGATGCCACTGTCCTCCAGGGCTTCTGGAGCAATCTCTGTAAAGAGTACAATAAGGAGTGTTACCCAAAATTGGAAACCCTGTTTATGAACCTTCCCAAAGGTACAGTGCACAGGTCAGGCAAACATAAGTGGGTTGGAGGATAATTACAGTTTAAGTGATGATAATCTGATTTGGCAGGGTTAAAGCCAAAGCAGGTGGCCAGACACGCAGGGAACCCCAGGCTTGAGCTGCAGGTCCGCAGCCAGTCAAGCAGGAAGAGAGGGGTGGCCGAAAAACAAATGACCCACCGGCCACATCACCACACCAAGAAAGCCTTAACCTCCAGCTCGGGTGGCACACAGACACTCATAATTCTAGTCTTATTCCCAGTTAACAAAAATATGTTCTAAGAACATTTAGCTAATGTTCCCATTAAGTTACGAAAACGTTATATCTGAATGTTCTCTGTACATTCAAAACGTCTATTTAAAAGAAAATGTTTAAAAATGTTTGTTTCTTGGTTATTAAGAAGGCACAGTTCACACAAAAATGCTAATTCGGTCATCATTTACTCACCCTCAAGTTGCTCAAACAATGCATAATGTATTTATTAAAGACCACATAATCTATTAACATTACTGGAACTGGAAGAATGTTTGTTCATAACTTTGAGAGAACCTTGCCAGAACGTTAGCCAAAGTTCTGAGAATGTTCCCAGCTGGGTTGGAGAAAAGAGGGGTGTTTTAAGCCAAGCACCACTTCTATGACCGTGTGATGTGATAGTCAAGTTTAGTAGTTTTCATTTAGTTTAAATACTAGCCTAAGCCAAACAAAATAGCAACACATTATTATTTATTATAAAAACTGCTTGTTTTCGTTGTATTACTACTAACAGGCCCCATAACCTCACATTTCCGGAGCTTTCAGAAGCGGAAGTCGTCATATAGTTGTGAATGAAAACTTTAAAAAATATAATTTTTGCATTCCCATTTTATCTAAAAACAAAATATAAAATTCACGATAGTGTTTCTATGGCTTTCCAAAATAAATATTAAGAGATTGTTAAAAAAGATGCCGTCACTCCCCCAGCCTAGAAACACTCACAGTTTTCTGTAATTCAGTCATTTCTGTAATTGAATCCTTTTTTTTTTTTTTTTTTTACAAAAGGGTCCATTATATTAGTGTTGAGAAGTGCGATTCGTGATGTTCGAATCAACTGTAACCGATTCTTTTGCCATTCATGATGTACCACGTAATCTGTCGTTTATATACAGTGGATTTAGCTTTATACACCGCAGGGGAAGCTGCACCTTAATCTCTGTTTTGTGAACGAGAGGCTGTTCTTTGTAGTCCTTCAGCAAAACATCCCAGACTGTTCTCACGCTGCTTTTGATTAGCCGAACAAAAGGGAAATATGTTTACGTAAGGCTAACATTTAAATGGATATAAATATCTCATAAAAACGTTAAAACTATTTAGTAGGGTAACTTGTGTCGACTAATATTTTGTAAGAAAAATGTTTATAGACGCTCCCTGGTAAACTATCGGTTCTTGATTTTGCGATCGTTGGACCAAACAATAATCCTACAATCCTATATATAGCTTTTATAATCAAAATCCACAAAGCATAAATCCGAGTGAACACGTGACAGTTTGAATGGCCATGACATGATGTTCTGTTTGCAAACATGGCAGTCCAGATAACTCAATGTCTTCACTGTTCCAGGAAGCAAAGGCAAGCCGGTGAGAAAGACAGATGGTGCAGCACTTTCTCAGGTCTCAGTGGGAAACGGTGATCACATGTTTGTGTAAAGTGTGTCATTAGAATACTATGTATTTTAGTAGATGAATGAGGTTGCCGATAAATAAATATGTCTCCCAAAATGCAGGGGTCCAGGCTGTATCTACCTCAGTCCAGAGGGCCGTGACTGTGTCTGCCACTGAGCATCCCACTGGCTGCGGGACAGTGGAGGGGATTCTGATCCAGCAGGTCATTGAGTCTGGTGAGCTCAGCACACTAATACGATATTGACAGACTGTGATGACAGCCTTTACGTAGCTAATGCTTTAGCTCTTAGTGTGTTTTGATAGTGTAACCTTGCCGTGTAAACGCTTTGGCGGTTCACTTTGGCAGCACAGATGTCTCAGCTGCTCTCTCCCGCAGGAGGTGCCAAAAAATGCATCAAGGTTGGAGGAGAATTCTACTCTTCTGGCAAACTGGATGAGACAGCTGGACTGCACAAGGCACAGACTGCACAAAACTATACTCACCAGCAGGGAGAGCCAAGCACCAGAATCATGAATGTAGGTGATCAAGATTTGTTAAACTCATGGAAAATTACAGACGTTGAAGATACAGAAAAGCCTACTTGAAAAATATTCTATAGGCAAAAGCTGTCATGATGTTAACCTGGTACAGAAGGGTAAATCACATTTATGTTGCATATGTTCAGGTAGAGCATAATGATGATGAATGTACTGTATGTAAAGACGGTGGAGAGCTCATCTGCTGTGACGGATGTCCCCGTGCCTTCCATCTCACCTGCCTGGTGCCACCCCTCACTTCCATACCCAGGTACAGATTAGTCATGTGACGCACAGGCCGCTGACCCTACCAAACCTAGAGCAGACTGCGCTCATCATTAGTCTTTAGCTGTGTCAAGTCGGTGTTGATAAACTGCATAGTAGAATACAAAAAATCTAAAACGTGAGGCCAAGTACAATAAATAGAGTGGGATCTAAGTCTAAAAACACTAGTGAAAATGTCTAATTTGATTCATTTTTTACTACAAATGATATATTGATGATATAATGATATATTATTATGTATTATTTATAAAATAAATAAATATGAAATATTATGAAATATAAATAAATATTATCTATAAAACTTTTGGAATCTGCTGTATATTAGTGGTTCTCAACCAGGGGGCCAAAACCCACTAGGGGGCCCCAGCAAACAAAGTCTAACAAATGTGTTTGCTTTCAGTGGTACATGGCGTTGTCAGCTATGCAACAGAGCGAAAGACAGGACATACACCCCCTTGCAGGTAAGCACTTGCAATAACTTCCTGAACCTAAATTACAGTTGGTCACACTTAAGCCCCGTTCAGAATACACAATTTTTTTGTCGGTTACGAATCCAAACGACACCCTACAGCAAGCAAATTGTGCCAAAATCGGGCTAAAATCGTGTAGTCTGAACGGGGCTTTATATGTACAATATGAACTCTGATGACCAGTGATGGGAGATTATTAGTATCCATGGCAGTAGTAAAGTCTCTGCTCTTATTTTTAGCCTGCAGTTCACCCTCCAGTGACAGAGACAAGCTCCAGCTCTGCTGTGGACTTCTCCTTCTTCTCGTCTCTGTCCTCCACTTCACTCTCCACAGTCACAGAAGGCAAAAGCGCTCAGCCCATGGGCCTCCAGGTAACACTTCCATGTGACTCAGTGAGAGACACAGTGACTGAGTGCATGTGAGCACCACACGTTAGGCCTGTTCACACCAAGGATGATAACTATAACAATAAATGTAACTATAACGTTTTAATAATTGTTGGAATCACTTTCAGAAGGATTTTTATACAGCTGATGAACAATAAAAACATTGACAGCCAATCAGAATCAGAATCCACCCAACATTAAACAGCTCAAGCACTTAAAGCAGTAGATAATATTACTGCTGCATGCTTATAATAAATTGAATGTTATCATCCTTTGGTGGGAATGCTAATATAGTTGTTATAGTTATCTTTATAGTTATCGTTCTTGGTCTGAACACACCTCTATGAGAATAATGAACTCCACACCACAAATATAAGACACAGAAAAACAGTGTCACTGGAATTACTTTGTTTTTTCCAGCTGATGATTCATGAATGACAGCCAATCAGAATCCGCACAACTTTATAGAGCTCAAGCCTTTAAAGCAGCAGACGACAAAACTGCAGCACACTAAACAGAAAGTTATTGTGCATTGGTGTGGATGCAAATATAGTTATCATTATAGTTTTTGGTGTGAACAGGCCTTTACTATGTGTGGAGGAATAATTCAGCTTAAAAAAAAGCAAAATCTTATTTATACACCCTCATGTCATTTCAGTCTTTTAAATCATCTATATGTATATGGCAGGATTGTGGTCATTTTCAGATATTTTTATGTTTAATCTCTGTTAGTCTTCTGGTGCTGAAATGGTTGGGATGAGGATGGCTTGTGGAAATTGCCACATGACCCGTGGAGAGCTGATCACCTGCCCGCAGTGCCTGCAGAGTTATCATGCCCTCTGCAACTTCTCAAAGTACTGGTGTTATTGTACTGTTATTTATAATAGAATAACTGTGAGCTCTATCATGCTTTGAATCTCAATCACTCCCTCTCTCTCTCTTCCCCTATTTGACTCTTCAGTGGAAGGACAAGATGTAGGAATTGCTCCAGGTCTTGGAACCCTGAAAGTGAAACATCATCAAGGAGTCTTCAGGTAATCCATACACACTAAAACAACACTTTTGGGCCGGCTGAGTGCACAGATGTTATTAGTCTGGTTTATTCCCACAGGTGAGTCAACACATGACTGATCAGGGCTTAACGCCATCAGAGCAGCTGCTCAACAGAGATGAAATGGACTCTATAATGGGGGAGGTGAGGTCATGTTTATCAGTAGTATACAAATAAATGATTAAATGCAAATGTGAGCAATGGAAACTGTCTATACACGAAGCCCCAGATGAGTTACCTAACAGTATATTTGTCTTGAATGCAGAGCTCTATAGATGGGATCCTGCAGTGGGCTTTCCACAATATTTCACGTCCTCTTTCTGAGTCTCAAGGCTATTTCCAGTGATTCAGTGAGTCCACTGGTTCATCTCTGCTGTGCCCAAACATCAAATCTCAGTATAAGGTTCCTCCTCAGTGTTAGTTGGACTGATGTAAATAATAGAACATACAGATTCAATAAAGTGAAGAAAATGAATGTATTTGATTATCCATTTCACAGGTTATTTTTTTATTTGTATTAGATATTTTTATTTTCTATAGATCTCGATAGGTTGTTGCTATTACAGGGTTTCCACAAATTATTGTTTTATTTCAAACTAATATTTGTGAAAAAACACAATATATACAATACAAAATACATTAAGCTAACTTCACCCAGAAGTTCATGTTCAGCTTAATGATTCATTGTCCCTCTCGCATTAAAATGTATTAAATACAATACAAATGTAAGTATACTGTATGTACATCAATGGTACTAGACAGATATTATTGTAGACCTAAGACAGGTTTTACAAGACACCGTATTGAATTTTACACTGATGAAATGAGGCTGTGAGGGAGACTTAAAGGCACAATATGTAATATTTTGCCACTGGAGGGCGCTTATTCAAAACAAACAAAGAAACAAAGGCGTAGTTATATGACGCCGTGAGTGTGGAATCATGGGAGTTGGCGTCTTCATCCAAACAGCCGAAGCAATCCGACGGGACTCAGGCAGAAATCATGTTCATGGATGAGCTAATGTATTAAAGATTTATTAACGTTGTAGTATGAAGCAGAGTGAGGCGGAAAGCCATCGAAGCAAAACGAGGCCGCTGAACGAGTGCGACACACGGCTCGAAAGCAGCGGAGCTTTTATTATGCCACAGTCAACCGCTTCCGCTCCTTCCGGAAAGCAGCGGAAGTAAGCAGCGCTGTTTTATCATACTAGATACATTTGAACGTTCTGTTATAATGCTACTCTGTGCGGTCGTCACCTGTCTAATAAAATGCATAGCATATTAAAGCGTCTTTGGTGTTTCCATGTTTTCTACAAAACAAAACCGGAAATCGGGGATTATGACGTCATTGGCAGACGACACAATGACACTATAGACACGGTCCGTGGCACTAGTTAAAATTGCTTATTTCTCTGGATTGAAACATTCTTCGAAACATTTGGGATAATGTAAGTACACAAGTCAGCAAAATATATAAAACTGTTCTAGTGGTTTTTGGATATTTTAATAAAAAAATCTTACATATTGTGCCTTTAAGGCCCCTATATACTTAAAATCAAAGAATGAACTGGTGTGACATCATTTTGAACAAAATCAGGCCAAAACAATGTTTGCTTGGAGTTCGTTTCGGGAGTTCAATACAGAAAAACTTTCTGGAAAAGTTCACTCTGGTTGGTAAACACCTTTGAACTACCATTGGCCCATTAGAGTACAAAATAGAACTTTGACGCGAGTATATCGGGCTGTTACATTCTTTACAATAGAATGCACGCTGCAAAGAATGCAAAGAGTCTTTTAGAAAGAGGTTTCTACAGCTAAACATTGGCATATCGTTAAACAACAGTACAATACATTGAAAACACATTGTACTTCTGTCCCTCACAGTCTTGATTTCATTCATGTCAAAAATTAAATAAAGCACTACTCTGACTAAAGTCTGTTGAGGTCCCTGCTATCCACTCCACTAAGGGGTTACCTCGGCCTTGGTTGAAGACACCTGGTCTAGATAATAATGAAACCCGGATTTTGATGTGGGCTTATTGTTCTGTAATGCCAACATGCATGTGATAACCTCCAGATATGAAACAATAGCTCAAGAATAGATGAATGGATTTCTATTTCTGCCTAGCAAACATGGAAAATGTGCTCCCATTTTTATTAAAGACCCATGTATTCATCACTTTCTTCTATATGCGTAGTTTGTGTACCTGGTATACCCTACGTTATGGGGACCAAATGTCCCTACAAGGATACCAGCAAATTTTGACCTTGTGGGGACATTTTTGGTATGATTTTTATAAATCATAATGATCTTTTTTGAAACTCTAAAAATGCAGTAGGTTTTGTGTGAGGGTAGAGTTAGGGGATAGAAAATACAGTTTGTACAGTATAAAAACCATTTCGTCTATGGAATGTCCCCATAAAATATGGAAGCTCAATGTGTGTGTGTGTGTGTGTGTGTGTGTGTCTAAGTGCCCCTATGTGGGCCTTCTGTGCTCTTCTGAGAATGGTTTTGACACATCCCATGGAATGCATGGTCCAGAGCCAACGCTGTCAGTTTTCCTTTTTGGCCTCCTCAGGAGACAAAAGAGAGTGGGAAAGCGAGAGAAAGAGAAGAAGAGAGAAAGAGAGCACTTGGAATGTTAATGAGAACCATGTGGGACTCCTGGAAATGTGCTGTTGCTAATGTCAAAGCATAATGTATGTCAACAAAGAGCAAAGCTTCTCGTTTGCTTTCATAAGGCTTCGGACAAAAACAGTGAAGTGATCCGTGCAGTGGGAATTTATCAGAAGTCTCAGTTTATCGATGTTTTCTTCTACCTCAAATGTGTCTTTAAAGTGTGTGAATGCTCGCTCTCAGGCAGATGGTGTTGTGACAGGCCAGGGGCCAGACGTTGTTGGAATGTTGCGGGGTTGCTATAGATACCTGTCCTTTAAGGCCCAACAAATAAGGAGCGGGGAATGTATTACGGTGGACCTTAAACCTCAGTAGAGCATGAAGGAAAATGTTTTTATATGAGAAGACATTTGGCAATGCAGACAGCATGCATCAATGAGACAGGATACACCAAAGGCTGGTTCTGTTTTATCTCCCGCAATGCCAAGACACTTCATGTTTATGATGTGCCAGTCTAAGCGTTCAGGCTAGCTTTTATATATCAAAGACATTCTATATTCTTTATGTCCTATCATTGATTTGTAAAGTCTGAAGCTGGTGCCAAAGTTCTGTCTAAAAGCAATACAGTTGGTATATGAAGGAAATAAAGAAGGGCACAAGCAGTTGTCAAATGAACCTAAACTATGATATTCCTTAGCTTCCATTCTAATGACAAGGAAAGCAAAACAAACAAAAAAATCCAAAACACATTTGTGAAATGTAAAAATGCAAATGTAAAATGTGTGTTTGATTTCTGATTTAAAGCTGAAGTGTACATTTTTCAGTCCACGACTGCATTTTTTGTGGCTCTATCACGTTGAAAACTGTGTTGTACGTGCATCCATGAACAGCTTGACACACCGCAACACTGGTCCAACCAACGGTGTGAGTTTGGGGCCAGACTTCCGTTTGTTCAACCAATAAAAGACTGGGGGAGTTTTCCAGGAAACAATTTTGAAAACAGTCCTTGGCTTCACCTGAATATGCAAATATCCCTATTATATAGTATCCATAAAACAGTAGGTGAAAAGCACCAGAATGACCTACTATTCTGAAGTACACAACCAATGGACAGTTTACTATCCCATGGGGCCACAGGAAAGTAGTTCTGAATGACAGTGAACCAACACAACTGACACTGTACATCACATGACAATATGACAAACGTAGTATGTCCAGATTGTATCATACTACACACATTCATTCAATATAGAATGTACTTTTTTAATGGTCGCGGAGTAATTTTGTATTTATAAGAATGACCTACATAGAGAGAATGCGATTTTAGATGCAGCCCTTGTTTTTGCATTTGCTCCTGCGATACAGAGATTGCACTTTTAAATCTTTTTCTTTCAACTGCTTTAAACTCATTCATAGTGAAGCTTCTGTGACATTTAAACCTTGTTTGATTGACGGATGTGCATCTCTGAATCTGTGAAGTGAAATTTGACCACTGTAGTAAAAACATTATAAAGACATTATGAGTGGCACATGAACAATGATGTTCTAGATTAACATAAAAGGTCTTTTTTTAACTACCTGCTTACAGTTCTCGGATGAGTGATCCTTATCCTTCAAATCCTGGAACATTGCTGAGACCTGCCCAGAGGAATTAAACGTGTTTGTCTATGCACTTTTGTTACACTTCTGCAAATCCACATTGTTCATTTACCTTACCTACAAATTCTAATTATCCTTCAGTCGCTGTCAAACTGTTGGTCTTATCGGCACCCACATCCAAATTCACATCCAAATGTTTGAGTGTGAAAATGAATCATTGATTGGGAGCAGTGATAGGATGCACCTGATGCTGATTTTGTCTTCATCGCTGCCACCATAAATCAAGTTTCAAGTCCCATGCTGAAACAGTTTTCTTGTTGCATGCATACATTTCAAAACATGTCCTTTCAGCTTTTCAAAGAAGGCATGACCTCAGACCTCAAAAAGAGCTCTCATTCTCAAAGATTGCTCAAGCTTGTCTGATTCACCCGGTATGGCTTGTACCCAGGCCCCTTTCCATTCATAATTACTGCAATACAGCATATTGCACAGTCCTGCACATCTACTCCAGCTGGAAAGATAATTATTGGCAGAGTCAAGGCACAGCAGCATGGAAAACCCGAGCTACCCTTAATAAAGGCATAGAACCTCCGCTCCTGGACCTGAACAACTCCCTAAATCATGTCAAGTAGTTCACCTGTTTTAAATTAGCTTGAAACCCCACGACCAAACTGCCTGTTGGAATATGAAAGTGAAGATTAGTTGCAATGCATAACAATAATCCCAGTGTGAGCTGGCTTCTATCTCATCTCTGACAAATCTTGCGCAAACCAGCAGAGAGGAATGTGAATAGATCTATAAAAGGTTAGGAGGTACGTATTCTGCATACCTTCAAATGAATGGTACCACAATTATGCAAAAGCAAACCGTGTATTATCAGGAACCACATGCTTGTCATTTCTCCACATACTTGTCATGTGTTTGTTTGAGATAAGCTCTGAGTTATTGCTCTATATTCGTTATTTAACTGTCTTTTAATTGCTATGACTTGGATTTGGCACACTTCTAATAGACTGACAGATTATTTTCTCATTTACATTTGAGCTGTTTTTATATGTCAGAGTTTTTGTTTAGTTCAACAGAATAATTTGACACTGTGATTAGTGGTCATTTTTGAAAGGCACAAGTTATTATCGCTTTCAGATACTTTTTCAGAGTTGATGTTTTGTTACCCTTCTCGTCCTCCTCGCCGGATGCGCTCTGTGAGTTTCCTGTGATATGCTGTTGGTCATGCCCTTCACATTCCTCCCATAATTCCCACGCTATTGCTCACACAAATACTCAAAACACATATTTATGCCAGCCTTTGCTAAACATTTGCGTTGTCCTTTGACTGATTTGAT